TACAAACACTACAATAAAACAAACTATGGACTGTATTCCACAAAAAACAGATGCACAGTAGTGTGGAATATGTTGCCGGAATACATTAAAAATAGCGATAGTAAATACATATTTAAGTGCAATCTAAAATTATATCTTCTTTCTTCTGAAGATTATTAGTTGTACTCACAAAAAATGTAAATAAAAATAATTTATAACTTTATAAAGTTAATTTGTATTAGTGGACCTCATATATCTTGAACCTGACATTATCTGACACTATTCTCCTTTGTTACATATATTAGTTTGTTTTTTAAATTTTTTATGGTGAACTACTAGAAAAGCCCTGACGGGCTTGTTAGTCTTCCTTCCATATGAATTGTATCTTTATATTTTATCAAAACTGTAACTGTATAATGGAAAAATAAATATCTATCTAAAGATCACAGACACAGAATATTTATCACTCAATATTAAATTAAACATATTAGTGGACAAAATTCATATCAATCCGCTAAACCCGTTTATCTGTGATAGTGCTGATAGTTTGGTACGCAGCTTAATAAATTCACTGGGACAGTTAATAGCAGTGTATGCTGGATTACAGTAAAACATTATTTGACAGTAAAACATTGTAATTCTTTGATAGTAAAACATTTGCTATCATATTTTTTCGGGTTGAATTGAGTATAACATTACAGTAATTCAGTAATTCTGTTTATGATAATGATGATAAACAACTTTATACATTACTTATAACCTACAGTGAAATTCATATTACTGGTGCGGTGGTGCCTAAATTTCCATGCACAGTCAACTGCAAATCGTTTCAAAACTTTTTTTTTGTGAATTTTAGGGGGTCCAATTCCGCGGAAGGAGGTACATATCAGCTAGCGCATATGTACCGTAGGGGTCCGAATCCGCTAGCTGATATGGACCGGGGGTCCATATTCGCCGGGAGTCCAAATCCGCTGTGACACCGGTATACTATACGGCATGTTTTACATGAGTATACTAATAAAGACTTACGTGTATAATCGCCATATTGAAATATAAATCTTGTAATTAGAAAGCGCAGCCTAGTCCCAGGCTCTCTCTCTATTCGCTGCTTTAATGTATTTGATAAGTCTTAAAAGTTTTATGCCTGGGTGTGCTGTGCGGAACGCTTCAGCGAGAGAGCCTAGCAGATTTCGGTAAAATGGTCCCTGATTTCAAAAAGTGGTCCCTGGCCTGGTTACCAAGCATACCGCATTTGTAAATAAAAAATGTTATGGAAATTTCCCCCGCGTTTATAATTATAAGTCATTAGTTTTGCTCCAATGCTGTCGGAACAATGAAGTAGGCTACTTTTCGCTACTATATACGGTCAGAATGGAATAACGGGCTAAATATGACTCGTGTTTACTAAAATATAAAGCCATATTAAATGCTATCTAGAAGCTTGAAAATTATGGCGAGTCTCCGACTAAAAATGTTGTGACAACACAGTCATGTCAGGCAAATATTTCCAATCTCCTCAGCTACTTAAACCTGTCAAGTAGAAAGCATAGTTGTGTATACCAGTATGGTCTAGTGTTGATCACAATTTACGAGTATATAAATAACATCAACGATTATACGACCATTGCTCAGACTCAGTATCGTAAATTTGCATGTAATTTTTTAATTGAGCACATATTTAATACAGTTTGAATTTGGTTATGTAAACGTCGAACATGATCAACGAACATTGTCGTATTTACAGGGTTATTTGTATGTATAAATTTTCCGCCATATTAAAAATACTGAAATCTGCTAGGCGTTCTGAAGCACCTTTAGTGGTGACGTCACATCTAGGTCCCAGTCTCGTACTACATCCACTTTTTTCTCGCGGTTGCTTCAGAACGACTGGGACTGGGCTGTAGAAAGCGTATCACGACGCCATGGTTTTCTGCGGTCGGTGAAAAAAAAACACACGGACCGCAACCGCAAATTGCACGAACCGCGACCGCAAACCGCACGAACCGCAACTGTAAATTGCACAAACCGCGACCGCAAACCGCACGAACCGCGAACGAACCGCAGTGTTAACTTATTTCTAGGCAGTACTGTAAGTAGTCCCGTTTTGATTTTTACGAAGCAGTTTTACCTGAATTTTGTCTATAACACATTTTTGAGATCGCTCCAAAATAATGCTGATGTCAGCAATTTTGGTCTTTTCAAGAGGAATTATAAATCGTTATATCGGCGTCATGTAGGTGACAAAATCTGTGAAACCTAATAAGCTACATATTTTTAATTAAACAAACGAGGATGAGTGTTGATGAAAGCTGGCAGCACAAGTCACGCATCCGAACAGGGGACATTTCAAGCTTTAGATCAACAAATGCGTGACGAGTGTTGCATTTATGTTTAAACTTAAATAGACTACATGATAGTGTTAGGAAAGCATTAAGAACACTTAGAACAGCCAACCAAGCTTGCCTGACTGCCAACTTTCATGCACTCTCATCTCGTTTAGTCTGGACTAAATCATTTTCAAGTTGTAATTTAATATCATGTTTGATACATGCCAAAAGTACCATTATTAAAAAGCGATGCAGCGATACAACGATATAGGAACTGGAACTTGGAACTGGAACCGTGCACGCGCTGTTTGAAGTACTCCGAGCATTCTAGTACGCCGTACGGCTGTAGTTGTTCAAAGTTTGAACAACTACAGCCGTACGGCGTACTAGAATGCTCGGTGTAAAATTCTATTGTTTATGATCACGTATTCATTAAGGAAGTACACAGAGCCGACAGAGGTTGAGTAAATGGCGCATTAATGTTTAATTTAAATTAAGTTAAATATGAATCGCAGTTTACTAATAGATTAAACTCCGTATTAATATTGTCAGTAGGTGATAGTAATAAAATTTTATTACAGGTGCTGGTCAATATATCGGTATCCAAAAAAATGTTTAACTTCGTATTGATATAAATCGTAACTTCATGTACACCGTCGTATCATATGGTCAAATCCCGGCTTTTCGTTTTTAAGGTATTATATATTCCTCCGAAAACATCCGCCTCCCTTAAAAATATTATCCGCTTTAATGTCTTCTACGCCAGTACGGCGATCGTGTGATAATTTGCATAAATTATGTGCGGTTCCAGTTCCAGGTTTCTGTTCCTGTAGCTGTAGCCGATCATAAAGTTCGTCAGTTTGTGATATACAGAACTACCTTGTTCTATAAAATTTCTATCATTTTTGTGCTGGAATGGTCCAATTTCTATATCAAAGTATATACAGCTATATATAATTTATATACATATCCTGGATATGCATGAATTGACGATCGACAGCAAAACGACTTCGAAATCTATAGTTCTATCATCATTCGATAAATGCTATTTCGTTTCATATGCAAAGCATCGCCCATTATGGCGCTATATATAACATAACTGGTATTAACTTACCTATGATATTCAAATTATTTATCTCATCAAATTAAATGCAAAATATGATCAGTAGATATATATAGTGATCAAAATTTTACCACGAGTATAGACTATAATAGTTCTTCTGATTTGCTCCGAGCCTTTAATGGAATTTCTAGTGTCATCACCTTATGACATGCCTTTCGTCGTTTCGACATTGCGATAGAAAACTTGCAATATCAAATGACCATATCATATTGCTGCTGTGTTTGTGTATAGTTTGAGAAGAGGTCGGTAATCTTCGAGAGAGTATCATGCCCCTCGAGTTTTATTTTTATTTCATTTTATTAGCTTTTTTAGTCTACGATAACAGACTATAAATCTCATCTACTATCGCAGACTAGATTTATTGTACACAAAAACTTTACAGTTTAGATTTCAAGGTATAGGCGGTAAGCCCAATGGAGCTACTGCAAATCTGTGATCTCCATATATATCTGGAGCGACTGAGCGAGAACTCAAGTCCAAAAGTGAAGCCAAGATGGCGGAAACTGAAGAGCTAGTAGACGTCCCCCCCTATGGTTAGGGCTATTTCAGATACAGTGTCAGCCGTGAGGCCCTGGGACCGAGGATGGATCTGAAACAGCCCTAACCACGTCCCATTTTATTGTTGTGCGGTATATAATTGGTGTACGATTTTCAAGATTTTCAAAAAAAGTTCAAGGAATGCAAATTGCAAAGGACAACCTTTTTTGAATTAGCTGTATGCAGTATGGCATTATTTAATGCCCATCACGATATCGATTCCGGTGCATAGTCCAGTCAATCTGTGACCAGAGGTCAAAGAAATTGCAATAGATTTTTTTTCACTGGTAAAATGTGAGGGAAGGTGTCCTTAATATTAACATACTAAAAGTGGTTCGGAAAATGTAATGAAGTGAAAAAAACATTTGCCGTGAACGATACAACATTTCGCATATTCGGACCGTAATGTTTGAGGGGCTTTCCATGACAGAGTTGCTCTTCACTTTATAAAATTGCTAAAGGCCAATCTTTGTTAAGAAAACAGAATTATACTTAACGTGTGTTAACTCTACAAATAAAACGAAGTATACTCGCGATAAAATTATGTATATGCTCAAACAAGTTATTAAACGCAATGGATTTTAAATATAAAATATCTTTTCATACATCGAAACCATGTGGTAGATCATCATCCTTAAAGAAACGGAAAAGTTAAAAATTAGCATATAATTTGTATTGACGATATAAGCTTAACGAAAAACAAATTGAGTGAATAAAATCCTTATTAAAATTATATAAATTTTCCTGACACAGACTAAAAAAGGAGTTTCATTTCCTCTCAGGAGAATTTTCCGCAGAAAGACAATTTTGCGGTAACATGTGATTGGCCGACACACATTTTCCGTCGGAAAAAAATTGAAGTTGAAAATTTTCAACTTTTAACAAAGATATTATCCGAAAATTTTATAAGAATAAAAGGCCGGTAATCAATAAATATAGAATGTCTGAAATTATGCAGTCTTTTTTCATTGTATACGCAAGGATCAGTTTTTAAGGGACTGGTCATAAAGTAACTGCTAGGGTGGGCTGGAGGTAAATCACAAATTTTGCCAATAAGTTTGGTGACCCATCTTAGGATGTAGATAAAAATTTCAAAGCCCATCTAATCTTGCCAAATTTATTTCATGACCCGCCCACCCAATCTAAATTGGGAGAATACAATACAATTTTATCATAAAAAAAACTTGCAGGTATGAACATTGTAAATATACACTGGCACTGTATTGACATACATAATTCCACCAAGCTTGACCAACACATTCATCACCAATTACGATACTGAGCTGCTCTCCAGTTGGTTGTATTTGCTGTGATTCAAAATACTGGCTTCAATAGCACATTTGCATTTGATAATTTGGATAATTTTGTTTACTTTTATTATTAATATCTTAATTGCTGCCGTAGCGAGCGAGCGAGCGTGTAGCGAGCGAGCGAGGCAGCTGTCCTAATCTTTATGTATATGTATATATATATATATATATATATATATATATATATATATATATATATATATATATATATATATATATATATATATATATA